TATTGTTTTCTGTTCCATCTGTTTCCCTGCATACCTTTCTATCTCTGTTACTAGCTTAACTTAGGTTACTAGCTCAATTTTAAATGAATTCACATTTCCCATTGATTTATTACTTGAACTGAAATTAGTATTTATCATATATATGTATATGTATATATAAATAACATGTATAAAATCTTCAGTCTACCTCTAACTAATATACCATTTAGTATATGGTATAAGAAATTTAGAGCAGTGGTACCACTTTCTCCAGCCTACGATGTGTTTGCCATTCATTTCAACTTCGCATGTTATGAACACATACTCAGTTGCTACTGTTTTCATTTTAGTTGTCCTTTAAGACAGTTGAGACTTAGAAAAAGTGTCTTTGTCTTGCATTTCTAATGTTTCTCATTTGTATGTTTTGCTTTTCTGGTTTCTGTTTTGTGTCATATTCTTTCTGCCTGAAGAACTTTTTTTAAGGGGGTCTTCTTCTGTTGATCTCCAGCAATGAATTCCATTCCAGTTCACCCAAACAACATCTTTATTCCTCTTTCACTGAAGAAATGCTTACGTTGGGTATAGGGTTCTGAATTTCCGGTTCTCCCTGCACCAACTTTTTTAACATTTGAAAGCTGTTGCTTCATTATATTCTAGCTTGAGAAGTGGTCTATCATAATTATCTTTTAAAAATCCCCTCTACCTTATTATCTACCTGGTTGAGGTTTTTTTTTTTAATTTATCTTACTTTTGTTTTCTAGCTCTTTTAGATCTGTATTTAATGTCTGTCATTCATTTGGTAAATCCTTGGCTTTTATTTCCTTCACCTTTTCCTCCTGCTTACTCTGTCTTCTTTTCAGGTGTTTGCATCAACTTGGTGGTGAGTGTACATGTCTTTTCCTTCCTTCTAGGCACTTGTCTGGCTCTAAATCTTTTATAAATTAATTATGTCTACAACATAATCCTTAGTGACTATATCTCATTTTATTGATGTGGTATGCCTTTTTAAAAAACTCTCTCCTACTATTTGGCCTTTAAATTGCTTAGTATTTGTTTTACAATTAGTACTGAACCAATAATCTCTGAATATACAGCTTGATATTCTTATCTGAGTAGGATCCAAAGTGTGATTGTAGACACTTACTGTTTAAGGGATTTTGTTGATACCATCCTGACTTTCAGGACTCCTCTGATAATAACCCACACTCTATCATAGATGACAGTGTTGCAGCTGCGGGTTGCAGCTTATGGACTTTTGCAGCTACTTTTGATCACAGACTTGGACCTGGCATTTGCTTGGGGTATGTGGTATTCATGAAGAGAGGCCATGGTTTATACCTGTGACCAACTCTAACTGCATAAAGCCCTTGTCAGAAAGGAAGGCCAGGGCCAGGCTGTGACCAACACTGGTGAGGTCCACCCAGGCTATTCTGTACCATAGTCTTCTAATAGCTTATAAAGATAACTCAGAAGTATTTGGACTTTTCCTGACATTTTTTAAACCAAATCCAAAGCACAGACCAGTAACACTCACACAACATGACAGTACAAATAGGACATGATAGAGATGAATTTCTGATAAAGGCAACTTCTAATTATGGTGTTGGCAAGTAAATAGCAAGCAATTTTTGAATTTCTTTTCTTTTCTTTTTTTGGTACTGAAGGGAATACAGTGGCTGGTACTTTTAATTCCAAATCAAAGTGTTTAGTGCTTTACAAGGCAGTTGCTGTTTAAACTGCCAATAATATTTAACGTGAATTTACTCACCATTCCCCAGCCTCACGCTGAATAATTTGTAACACTAAACCCGTTCAGCGCTCCAAAATGCCAGATAAACTTTTTTCTCATTTGCTCCTAATTTGGTCATGCAGGATAATACCGACATCTGAAGGCTCTTTAAATTGCTTTTGAGAATGCATTCCTGGGAGAGCCACCCATAGGCCCTCTGCTCCTCGTCATCATCCATAATTATTTCTGATCCAAAGCATCCCTTAATGCACGTATTAAGCTGGCACAGTCATCTCTGTAAACTTTATCCCTCTCCCAGTTTTTAAAGGGAACTGCAGACACTTGGCTATTAAGGAAAAGCTATTAGATGTTAACACCTTTCTATCCCGGGGGGCGGGGGCTGGTATCATCCTCTGACTCCAAATGCCACCCTATTTCACATTATCACTTGCTAAGATGAAGTATTAGAAACTTCTCCCAGTTTTGCTTTAGAACAGCAATGCTGTGATTAGCTGATGACGGCACTCTGCTCAGTCTGTAGCCTGAGCCCGAGGAGCCTGACTTTCTCCTCCCTCCTTTCCCTTCCTGACAGCATTTCTCTAGACTGCCTTGGCTGGCTTTGTGCCCTGGATGCTTCTTCCTCAGCCTCCTGCATGCCCAGCACTTGGAATCAAAGCTGGCAAAACTGACTTTTAGGTATTTGTTTTGGAGAGGGGTGTCTCAATTGAAAGATGCAGAAATGGTCGAGAAAGTGGGGTGGGCTGCTTCCTGTCCCTTCTTCCATTGACTCCTCCCACTTCCTTCTCTGGTCCCTCCCACCGGCCTGACTTCTCTCGGTGTTTCTACTGCTGTGATAAAAGCAAGCTTAAGGACGAATGTTCTTATTTCATCTCGTAACTCTCAGGTCGCACTTAATGGCTGAGGGAAGTCAGGGCAGGAACTGAAGCAGAGGTCATGGGAGAATGCTGCTCACTGGCTTTCTCCTGGTGGCTTGCTCAGCCTGCTTTTTTCACACAACCCAGGGCCACCCTCAGGGGTGGTGTCACTCACCTTGAGCTGGGCCCTCTCACATCACATCAATCCCTAATCAAGACAGTGCAGCACTGTCGGCAACAGAAAAGAAAAGGAAAGCGAACTGTGCATCGGTATGTTGCTGCAGAGTTAAATGCATACTAAATGCCAAAAGCAATGTTGGCACTGGTATTTGCCACACGGTCCCATTTCAAAGCGCTGCATACCCACCCGATGAAACAGTTTGTACACGGCAGATGTTCTCTGGGCTGCTTTGAGTCAGGGCCTCACACCATAGCTCAGGGTAACCTTGAGTTCACAGAAAACCACCTTGCCTCAGATTATAACGAGTCATTGGTGGAGGATTATTAACTTTTCTTTTTTGAGATCTTTGGGTAGTTTTACTTGTTCTAGAAAGCATCTGATGACTGTAGTTGCAAACACGAAATTAACCCAATAAGGAGCAAGTCACCAGGTGAGTTTAAGATTTAGGATTTGGGTGCCTGTTTTATGCTCAAATGGTATTCAATTTAGCCATGCTCCTGCTATGGGAAAAGTTACCTTCAAGAATAGTCACTTGAATACACAGCAAGATTTTCTGCTTCTGACTGCTGGCTCATGGTGTGTCCGTGTTCTTACATACTACTCTGGGAAGACATTTGCAAGTTAACATCTCTCAGTGTGAGCACAATATCCGTGACAGAGACTGTGTTCTCCAGGTATTGCAGAATTGCCCATCTCTCATATAACTTAATTTCTTTCATGATTTAAATAGAAGATATGGATGACAGAGTAGATAGCAGACATGGAAGCTAAGTCTTTATTAAGATGGTCGCCCACCCCCAAAATGAAAAGAAAAAGAAAAGAAAAGAAAGGAAAAACTGTTGATTGACTGCCTGATAGTTCACTTGATAGTAGTTTTGAAAGCCTAAAGAATAGATTGATTTTCTGATTTTGCTCAATTCATTCACGACTTTCCTGTCCGTCAAAGGAAGGACCTTGTTCTAAATTAAGAGACAACTAAAATGAGCTCCACCCTTAAGGATCTTAAAACTCTGCTGAGCTCTGGAGTCCTGGGGTGAAATGTGACATGAGCACCCCCACCCGCCTAAGGCTGCTTGGTGACAGCACTCACAACCACTTACTCTTAACTTTAGATATCAGCTGATAGTTTAGGGGTCTGACTTGGTGTCTGTCATATCAGGCCACTTCCCCTCTGCAGTTTTTCCCTGCCGAGAGTGCTGTCACACAAGTCTTCAAGGGGGTAGATGGAATGGGAACCCTGCCTACTAATCCTCTTGCTACAAACTTAAAAATCTGCTTCTGTGGATCGACTTTTCTCATTCTGAGTTGGATTTGCCTACTTCCTTGCATGTCCACTGATCTTTAACTGGATGCTAGCCAATCATGAGTTTGATCTGACTGAATACTTGGCAGTTTTGTACTCCTTTAACCCACTTTCGTGCTTCCTCTGTGCTGATTTCATTCTGTGGAGTTTGTTCTCACACTCTGTAAAGTGTGGCCAGCAGGGCTTGGTCCGGGGGCTTACAATAGCCCTTTGTTATTCTGAGGTTGACCTCTAGGTAAAGGGTTCACTGGCGACTTTCCTGCCTTCTCTGCCACTGGTTGCTTCCTTTCTCTTTCCCAGGTCATTTCTACACATGATTATTCTGCCATTTCTCAGCTGAGACTCAAAGGGATGCATGGAGCTCCTGAGAGCTCCCTTTAGGAACCTACGCTGCCTGTTAGTTCTTCTCTGAAACTGAGTTTTCTTACTTTGTTTGTTTTTGTCTTTTTGAGATGTGTGTGTGTGTGTGTGTGTGTGTGTGTGTGTGTGTGTGTGTGAGAGAGAGAGAGAGAGAGAGAGAGAGAGAGAGAGAATCTATTTCTTTAGTGTAGTTGGAAAGGAACTCTATGTATTGGTTTGGTTTTTGAGATAGTATCTTGTTATGTAACTCTGTCTGTCTGTCCTGGAACTCATTCTGTAGACCAGGCTGGACTCAAACTCAGATCTGCCCGTCCCTGCCTCCTGAATGCTGGGATTAAAGGTGTGCACCACTATGCCCAGCTGGAAATGAAAGCCTTAAGGAGACTCAGTCTCAAAATGCCAGCTGGTTCTCCAGTACCAGCCCTGGAGCTTACATTGACACTGTATCCCTTAGCAAGGCCCTGGAAGTTGAGGAGTCTGAAACACTTCTGGACAAGTTGGACAATTCAGGTCTAAAAGAAGGGGGATGTCACCTTTCTGTCATTCCCAGTAGAATAAGAAGCCACGTCCTACCTGGTTGTCTTCAAGCTCACATTCCCCTCTGTCCTGAGGCCTGCAGCTGTGCTGACGTCCATCAGTTCCGAGACAATGCCCACTAGGCTCTACCAGTGTCCTTGGTGACAGTTGCAGCTGTGACATCACTCTTCTTGAATGCTAAGCCTGCCTTAGGGGGGAGAGGGCTCTTAAAGGTCTCTCCTCTCCTTTAAAGTATTCACACCAGTGTGATGGCAGGAGGTTCCTTCACCCTTGCGTAACCACAACTGGAAACACCATCTTGGGTCATGGTCACTTAATCTGTCATCTAATATCTCATGGGAAATGGGATTTACAAAAGCTCAGTTCACACTGCATTTTCAAAACGAAGTCTCAAAAGCATTAAAGGCCCATGGTAATGGTTCTGCAGGCACGAGCATTTGCTGCATAATCATGAGAACCTGGGTTCAGATCTCTAGAACCTGTGTAAAAGCCAGATGTGGTTGCATATACTACAATCCCAGAGATTTAGGGGCCCCTCGAGGCAGGAGGATCCGTGGGGTAGCTTAGCTGGAGGTTCAGTGAGAGCATCTGCTTCAAAGGGATAAGACAGTGCTGAGCAGGACCTCCATGTCTTCCGCTATCTCCGTGTGCATGCATCCCCCCACTCCTACATGCACACACACAATGCACACACTCACAGTATACACACACATACAACACACATACATGCACACACAACACACATACATACACAACAATACAACATACACTCAGATACATGCACACACGTCAAATCACACACATGCACGCGCTCACACACGCACATACACATACCATACGCCCACACACCAAACATAACCATCACACATATACTCTCTGATGCAAAAAAATTATAAAAATATGAAATTTATTTTTATCTTGGCTATTGCAAATTTTAGATTCCAATTTCAATCACGCATTGGACTTTGGGAAGATAAAGGGGAATCCAGTGCTGATAATTTAGGGAATATAATTTTTACAACAAAATCCAGTGGTGGCACAACGTGACTTCCTGTGTCTCATTTATGTGTTGTCTTCACTATAGAAACAGAAAGCTGTTTATTTAAAAAAGAGCCCAGGTCTTCGTGAGGTTTTTGCAAGAGCAGTTCTTTAGAACCTAACAGTGCAGACTTTCTGCCTAACCATGAGCTCATCCTCCCTGGCGAAGCTCTGTCTATTTGTTGTTACCTGATCATTCATGGTCTCATCTGTTTCTGGCTTGACAGGGGTCTTAAGTTGCTCTCTAGCTCTCTCACTATCCTTGTAAAAGCCCAGAGTCTTGCTAAAATATTCTGTTCTTAGCATTTGCACCACACCACAGATAACCAAAGAACCGAAGAGAAACTGTCAAAGTGATGACAGCTCTTTGGGTTCTGGTAGATAGTGACATTATGTTTGAGTGGAAACTGATCTTACAAGTAAAGCTAACTCTGTGAATATTTTTGAAAGTATTATGATAATTTTTACTTCCCTATGAAACCTAATGAATGTGGACACTTGGTACACAAGAACACAAGGCGTCCTTGTGTGTAAACGTGTGTGTGTGTGTGTGTGTGTGTGTGTGTGTTTAATATGGTCTTTATTATTGAATGTCACTCCAGAAGACTGGGAGATCTGAACCTTTGGACCACAGCCAGGATTTGATAAAAATATTTGTAGGACAAGCAAATCCATTGGGGACCAATGAGGATAGAGGGTCCTTGGCAGAGCAGCCTCAGCACAGGAGATCACTCTGGGGCTGATGCTTGGACTCTTTAAGGACATCATGTTGGTTCCTTGGCATTCCTTCCCGCCACCCACTGGTGTTTGATGAGTTGAATGCACCAGCCAGGTGTGGTGGCTCACATCTGTAATCCCAGCAAGCACTTTACTATGATGACTTATATCGTCAAGTTGACAGGTTCTAGACATCTCTGGGCACACTTGGGAAGGATGGTTTAGACTGGATTGACTGAGGTGAGAGACCCACTCAAAGTGTTGCAGTGAATGAAGAAGAGACAGCAAGCTGAGCACCAGTGTTTGTAGCCCTTTGCTTCTTGTTGGCGGATGCGTGGTGACCAGATGCCTCAGGTTCCTGCGGCCATGCATTTTCTGCTGTGATGCACCGTAACCCCGTGAAGTAAGCCCTTTCTCCTTCAAGTTTTGATCAGGTATTTGGTCATAGTAATTATAAAGATAACTAATACATGCACTGAACCATCTCCTTGGACTTCCCACATTTGATTTTATATAAAACAGTATCTCTTACCCAACAGTCTCCAGACAGGAATAAAAAAAACACATTTAAACAAAAGTCCTACAGCTTGGAGGCACAGTAGGTGGACTCTGTGGCCTGCTGTCATCTCAGACACTTTACCTATGCCCACAGACCTCAGATTATGCAATGACTGTTTCTGAACAGTGTCTCTCCTCAGCGGCATTAGTGGTGTCACCTTCTTAGCACCAACCCTGAGTCATAAAAAGACTATCACTCTGGCACACTGTGGTTCACTCTTCACCCCCTCCAGCCCCAGGTGCAGCAACAACCCAGCTTCAAGATCCTACTCAGAGCACATTTGAATCTTGATGACCATTTTGGTCTAGTTCAATCATAAAATATAGTAGGAAATTCCCAAAGTAAAAAAAATCCCCAAAACAAACAAAACAAACAAATGAAAACAACACCAACAAAAAAACTTTCTCAATTTTTCTCCTACTTAGGACCCACCAAGTGCTTTCTGTGTTGAGACCCTGGGGTATCTTTTCCAGGAGATGCAGCCCCAACTCTGATCTGGTATCCCCTGAAATCTTGGCATCCAGAAAAAACCTCAGTCTGCATTTATGTACTTATGGAGATCTTCTTTTTTCCCATGCCAGGATTGGTCACAACTCCTTGGCACTTGGCTCCTTCCAGCTTCAGATTTTAGCACAGAATCCTGCCAGACTGTCAGAAAGATCCTGAGTCTATGCACTCTGTTCCGTTTGTGTCTGACAGCTGATTCCAGAGCCTGGCAAGAGAGCTTGAGATATGAGTTCTGTTTCAGTGGGTTCTGACTACCCTTCTGCATTCATTGGTGTTTGTTCACAAGCTGAGGGGCTGAGGAGGTGGCTCAGTCAGTAAAGTGTCTGCTTCATAAACTCGGGGACCTAATCCTTGATCATGGGCATGTTACCCTGATGCTGTGGGAGAGAGATAGGTAGATTTCTAGTGTTAGTTGGTCAGCCAACAGGTAATTCTGGGCTCAATGAGAGACTCTATATCAACAGATAAGGTAGATAGAAAATCAAGATCATGGACATCAACTTCTGGGCTCAGTATGTAATGCAGACAACATATATCACACACATATTCTGTACACATCTATTATCATCCATCTATGTATCATCTTAACTATCATCTATCTATTATCTTTCTATCATCTATGTATCACTTATCACCTGTCTATCTTCATCTGTCTATTTCCTATCTTGTATTATCTATCCTCGTCTATCCATCAATCTGTCTGTCTTTCATCATCATCATCTGTATCTGTCTGTCTGTCTGTCTGTCTATCTATCTATCTATCTATCTATCTATCTATCTATCCATCCATCCAAAATAGGATCACAGAATGAGATAGAACTAATATAGAAGGGCCTTTAATCAACATTCAGTTGACTCCATTCATTTGATAGGGGAAGAAACTAGATACCAGACAAACAGGTGACTTGCCAAAGATTATTTAGTGGGTTCAGGGCAGGATCCTCATCTCTTGACTTACTCAGAGATAGCATGATAGTTAACTTTTGCTGCATGGCGAACTTTCCTTAACTTAGTCCTGTGTCTTTGATCTAGAATTCTCCTTATATGCCCAATCTCTTTATAAATTTGCTCTTTTCACACTGTCCCAGAATTCCTGCGTGTTCCATTTGTCAAATTAAAAGAATATTATTTTCTTTGAGTGAATGATCCAGTTCCCCTACCTTGTCTTCAGGCCCAGATAATCTGTCTTCTTTGTGATCCATTTTCTTGTTAAGTCTGTCCATTGATTTCTTTTTAAAGATTTATTGAATTTTTCATTTCCAGCTTCATTTCAGTTTGAGTTTTCATCAGCTCTTCTGCCTCTTGATTCAATTCAATGTTCATATTTTAAGTCTCTCTCGTTATTTCAATCAATCATTGTTGGTGTTTTCTAGGACTTCAATCAGGATTTTATTTCTGACCTCTGTAATTTCATTCAGGAGTTTATTCATGTTCTCTTTGATTTCTTCACACTCTTTGAACTTGTTTATAATTGTTCTTTTGAATTCCGTGGCTCGCATTTTGTGTAAGTTTTTCTTGTTGGGGACTGTTGCTGTGGGGTCTTTGGGTTGACACACTGTCTTGGTTTTTCTTGTGATGGGACGTGGACACCTGAAGTTAGGTTGTTGATTGTATCTTTTCATGTGAGTTTTTAGTACATAAGGATAGAGTCCTGACTTACAGCTGCAGGCTGAGCTTTTTGGCAGAATCCTGCAGAGATAGAGCTAAGGGCAATGGGTCTCTTACCAGGACCGTGCAGGTAGGTAGTTGCCTAAGTGGCTTGGTGGAGTCCCAAAGGTGCATAATTGAAAGAAGAAGTTCTTTTGCCACGGTCAATCATGTTGGCTGGGTTCCTAGAAAGAGCCCTTGACTGAAGCAGGTGTATACCCAGAGTGAAAACAGAGGGGGGTCTCTAATGGGAGTAGAGGGACAAGGTATGCACTGGGTACCAATGAAAACCCATCAGCATGGGGTCCCAGTGAATGTAGGCAGGAAGGATCTTGGGTCTCCTGGAGAGAATAAAGTATAGAACTCTATCTGGCAAACTCCCAAGAACTGCAGGCAGGGGGTTGAGCAGTCTAGAATGGAGGAAGGTGAGGGACAGACCTGGCGGAGCCGTCAACATGGGGTCCTGGGGAAAGACTGAAGACATATTAGGTGGCCCAGCAACATAGTTGGTGCTGGTGCATGCAGGTGGGGTGTTGGTCTCTCCCCTCGTCTCCAGGTTTTCACAGCAAGTATTCTGTCCCAGCAACAAGAAAGCTAGCTAACATATGGAGAGTGGATTGGTTGTCTTTCCTGGACTACATTT